GAACTCATTCTTAGTTAATTCCCATCTCTCTTCAATAAAGGTGAAAACAGCAAAACCCAGAGCACTTTTGACAAAACAGTAGCTTTTACTGTTGCTTCCAAAAGGGAGACAAGGACAAACACATGCATAAATACACATAATAGTACTAGCTTGAGATGTCTTGTTCTAATCAATCAAAATTAAGTTGTATCACAGGGATTCTTAAGTATCATTCTCATCATTAAGTAGTGGAGACCCATTTTGTACCCATTTTTGCACATGAAAAAATTTAAAATGAAAGTTACATGAATTTTCCAAAATTTAGTCTGCACCCTCAGCAATGTGTCTCCATTTTCAATGCTCTGCTACTTCTGCTAATTGCCCATCCGTGTTTCCACAATATCAAAAGCCTACTCTTACATCCACGTTCATGTGATGTCTCTCAGGAAGTTTCCATCAACTGCAATCCTTCAAAGTGCTCATCCTTCTCAGGACTCTCAAATTCTTCATCTATATCTTGTTAGTGTAACACACACTCACTAAAGACTGTAAATCTGTTACAATCAGGCACTCCACCTTGTTTTTGCTTATTTCTGAATATCTACTACGATGTTCTATTTTATTTACCTTGAATTCTTTTCATTTAGTTTGCTATTACGGCTGGTCCAGTATTTTTAACTGGCTGCAAAATTGAAAAAGATCTCAACTCAGAGCATGAACAGAACTATCTTGAATTTAAAAACACACAAAAAAAATTATCAATAGTAAGGAAAAATACAGCTTTGGATTCATGCAGGCATGACTTGAAATTCCAGTTCCATAATTAGTGGCTTCCAAGCTTTTCAAACTTTGTATTGATGGCATTCATAGAGAAGACCACAGGTATAAGGCCTCCTGCAAGGAACACAAAGCCTTTCATTTTCGTATAACCCACCAGGGCTCCAGCCTCCTCGGGCCTCCCTTTTCCAGGTCCAAAGTTTAAGAGAATCAAGATCTTGGTCACACAGTCCTGAAGCAAAAATCTCTAGGTTACACTGCCTTACAAACACTGAGGTAACAGCATCTCTGAGCTTCTGTTTCTTAATATTAAAAATATATAACTATACATTCTCTACCAACCCACTGACAAGACCGCAAACTATATACAAAGCACCGATCATTATGTTACATAATAAGCAGACACTGATACACTACTTAATAATTTTAGTTCCTAATAAAAATATTCCAAATATAAACCAAGTCAATAAAAACTCTGTCAAATGGTCAGCTACATCATCATCAGGCAGCCTACTAACAGAGGAATGGTTGATTGATTTTTGGAATGAATAAGCAAACAGCCTTAGACATATTAAAACTAATAATTTCATATGTAAATCAAAGGCATATCTAAAACCACACATCAAGTGAAGGATGGCAGTGGCCATGATACAGGACTGTGTGTTCAGTGGGATCAGGATGGGGGAGGTAGACCGAGGGCGCAGTGAAACACCACCCTTGCCGGCAGAAGCCAATGGCGAATCTTTGAATGACCAACGCCCTCAAGAGACAACACAGGACTCTCAGAGGAGTAGGTACTTTTCCTGTACTCACAGGTCAACCACAAGGGGAGCTAAACTGCTCTTTTTATGCCTGGTCCTGACATTTAACAAGTCTGTGGATTTTGTGGTTTGTCTCCTTGCACAAATTCAGTCATCCACTTGGACTTTTTTGTTTCACCACATATTCAATGTTTGAACAGGTTTTCAATGCTGAGCCTAAATATGATTGCAATTTAACCTATGACCTGGTTAGCTGCAGCTGCTCCAATACCAACCGTGGGACCTGACTGACCCACAGGTTGATATGTTGCTGTCTTCATCAGAGCACACAGCCATCACCTAATTCTCATGACCCACACCCTCCCTCACATCTCTGTTACAGAAACAGCTGCAGCACAAGTCCACAGGAAGTCTGGGTGACAGGTACACACAACCTGTGGCTTAATGATGGTATTTAAGAGATCTAGAATTAAACACTGGTGGATGGAAACTGCAATCAAACAGTGCACATACCACGAATAAGGCACCAAATAGATGCCGAGGTTTAGAAATAAATGAATCATCAAGAAGCTAATAGCAATGTACTATTTTATCACATTATTAATCAGTTTCTGATTCAAGAGAATATTAATAACTCAAAGAACTAGGACTGGAAGTCCCAGTTTACCCAGCTATTCCCCTGCTGGGTATCTTCCCCAGAGGATTAAAAGAATCATACCACAGTGATATACATGCACCCATGTTCACAACAGCACAATTTGTAATAACTAAAACTTGGAAACAGCCCAAATGCCCATCAACTGAAGACTGGATAAAGAAAACGTGGTTTTTTTATAAAATGGAGTACTACTCAGCCATAAAAAATGAGAAATTAGAGACATTTATAGCTAAATGGACACACATTGAGGCAATACTATTAAGGGAAATATAAATAGGACACACATGTGTATATACCAAATAGTTTCTCTAGTGTGAGAAACTGAAAGTGTAAATAAGGACTAAAAGGTATAATAAATAATGTGAAATAGGAAGAAAAGGGGCAAAGGGGAAGGTGAAGTGGGAGGGGTAGGGGAAAGGAAAGAAGGGAATGGAATTAATATGAGAAAATTTTAAAAAGGAAACAAAGTCTTTGTAAATAGGGAGGGATGGAGGGGTTGAAGGGAGGGCAGGGGAAGGGGGAAAAAATAAGAACCAAGAGAGATTATGTAAAGGTGCAAATTTCCAATGATGAATATCATATTATACACCTAAAATGTACCAATAAAAGGATATACAAAAAAAAATAATACTGGTGCAGGAACTAATGTGGGAAACAAGATGGGCCATGAGTTGGTTATAGCTGAAAACAAAGAATGAGTATACAAGGATTATATTACTTTATCTACTTATGTATATGTTGCAAATTCTCTATAATAAAAATATTTTAAATGCTAAAAAAACTAAGCTTTTAAATTAAAACAATAACTAGCAGTCAAGATACTATGGCTTATTCAAAGATATGTGGAACAAAATGACACATATAGTGAACACCACAGAGATGGTAACAAAAATGCACCAAGAAAATTGGGGGTGGGGACATTTAGCAAATACAAATTGAATTGTCTCATTAAATTAAAGGCTCAAAATTTTAAAGACAACATATTTAATTCTTATTTTCCCAATATATCATATAACAGTCTCAAAAGAAAGGGAAAGTATTATTGAGTCTACATAAATGATAAAAAGTTTCAATTTTATTGAATTTGAATTCCACATTCTTAAATCACAAAGGTATGATAATATCTAAGTGCCTATCATTGCGTAGTCTTTTTTTGGAGGTTTCCAGGGATCAAACCCAGGACCTTGCGCTTGAGAGGCAGGCACGGTACCAGAGCTAAATCCCTGGCCCCCACGTTGTGTATTCTTATGCATATAATGTCCTTCAAATAATGAGAAAGCAAAACATAATCACTGCTTGCCTATTGTGCCACAAATTTTGCCTCAATTTTTTTTTGCATATGTATGTTTCTCAAGTGTGAAATTAGCTTATACATGAGTCTTAAAACTGTCAAAAAATATCATAAGGAAATAATAATCTGGTGGCCACCTTATGGCTTGCATGCAGGATAACACATTGAGGTAAGAAGAATTAAAGGCAGCAGCTTTCACTCTTTGGGAAAAACAGGCTGTGCATGACCTGACATTTGTGTCCACTGTCACAGGGTTGGGTTGGCTGAGGCTCAACATCACTCTAATCATGGCACTAAAGCATGAGGTGTCAAAGCCATCCACTACGAGTTGCCCGAAACACAACTGCAGTTGTAATCATGGAGCATTCCCAAAGCTGACAGCTGGATTCAGTCATTCGCTTCTAAAACTTTAATACAACAAATACTTGAAGATTACTTAAACAGATAAAATCCTCTGACGTATTTTTCACTTTCCTACTACTTAACAATGGAATGATCTTTGTTTCTGAATACATACATTTGGCATAAGTGACCACACTCATTAATTTCCAATCTCCATTCCCACCACTCCTATTCTTTGTTTTTTCTTTGCTTTGCTTTGTTTTGTTTTGTTTTGTTTTTTGAGACAGGGTCTCACTTTGTAGTTCAGGCTGGCCCTGAACTCACTATGTAGCCCCAGGCTGGCCTCGAACTCAAAGCGAGCCTCCTGCCTCAGACTCCTGAGTGCTGGGACTATAAACATGCACCACCGTGCCCAGCTTCCACCACTCCTATTCTTGGATGATAGAACTTTACTGGCCTTTTATTCAGTCTCAAGTCTCTTCACAAATACATAAACTCTATTAAACACAACAAAGATATGGTCCTTCTTTCATCCCATTTTTCTCAGTACTCAGACACCTATGGGTGATCCTTCTCACCCTTACATGAATCATTATCTCTTTTCATGTAATTCTTTTGACCATATACCCACAGCCAATGGCATTTATTTATACATCCAACACACAAAAACCCAGGCATCAGGGACTGATCATGTATATTCTTTGGCCAATGCAATGAGAGGAGAAATTATATATATTCCTAAGAGGCAACAAATGGCTCTACCACTTCTCTCTTTTCTGTCTGCCTCAAGAGCTATTATCAGAATGTTGGTGTCATCACAAATGGACTAAGTAAGACACATCTCACGGAGGGAGTGCTCCTCTACTTAGTTTCTCCAGTCAAGAGGCCATAGGGAACGGTCACGGAACAACCATAGCCAACATATATTGTGAGAAATTAAGCTATTACTGTTGTAAGCCACTAAAAATCTGGATTGATGGTTACACAGCATAACCCAGAGAAAATGTATTACTTATGTTTATAACACTGAATAAATGAGAACTGTGTGTGGTGGTCAACCCTGTGCTAGTCAAGCAATAAATATTCAATACATGTAAGATACTATTCCACAGGTATCAGTTTAATTTTTTCATATCCTTTTAAGAAGAGAATTATGTGTTTTCTAAATAGCCATTCTCATGTCAAGAATGGTATGTGCTTAAAAACATGAATTACATAAACTAAAAAGAAAAGGCAACAAGGTATCTGAGGAGAAGTACAGCAGAGAATAAGATCTGGGGAGAGAAGGGGAGGTGGAATGGCATCACTCTTTAATTTCATAAATAGTTACTGGATAGTTAACTATGAATCAGAGATGTGGATAAGCATAGAATGACAGATATGGATAAGGCAAACCTGCTTTATTAATATGCAAAAATAATGAAAAGTAAGAAACAATTACAAGGACTGGATAGGGGTCCTCCGGTGGAGAAAAGTGTAGTGACTTCAAGGCACTTTGGAGCGGTCAATGAAGTTTTCTTCAGGTTGTGTCCTCAAGAATAAATGAGAGGTGAGTAGATGAAGGAGAAAATATGTAGATATAGACAGAATGTTTCAGGCAAAGAAAACAGTTGATGGTGATTATTTCCCATTGAAAACAAATAAATTTGTCGTAGTCAGTGAAAGGGTTGGACTGGGGGGAGGGTACAGTTCATCTTTAGGGAGGTTAAATGTAGCCATTACACAAAAAGGAACAACATTGAGTGGAAAATGAAAAAGTTTTCTAGATGCCATTACTAGCCTAATGGCAAGCTTGGTGGCATGAATTTTCAGAGTCACGTTATTTTTCTTCATACTGAGTAGGAGCCATTAACAGAGTAGCTTCAGGTTCCAGACAGTTGTACTGAAGACTAGAAGAGATTGGAAATATGAGTATTGGTGGTGACTCCAGACTATCATGTCAAGGTCAGGAAAATGAAAGGGATGGCAGAGGGACCACTCCTGAAAGATACAACAAAAACAGAGGTTTCAAGAGACTAGTGGTTTCAATGAAGCTAAATATAGATGTGTGTGTGTGTGTGTGTCATACGCTATTTCATGTAGTTACTTTCTTCCTATATCATCAAGATAAACACTGCTTTGGACCACTAAAACACAGGCCTGATTATATGTATCATAACAATTCCTTTCATTTCAAATATTTTCCTATTTATTGACAATACTCCATTTGCCACTACATTTTTTTTAATTATGGAAAACCAGTATTAATATCTTAATTTTATCTTGGGAAAAAATGAAATTTGAGAAAATTTTAAAACTTGCCTAAGATCCTAAAATGAGTTTGTGAAGGATTATAACAAGAACACAAACTATTATTCTTTTGATGCCTGCATCTTAAGCAATCTAAGCAGAAAACTCAGAAACAGAAATAGATTACCCATACAGCAAAATGCTAGTACATACTGAAATAATGCATCATTTCAAATAAGTTACTGTGTTTGATCCCCAAACCATAGCCCAGTGGCTGGCTTATTTGACCGTTCCAGGTGGAAATGTGTCTAGCTACATTAAACTCTCAGGCGATGTCAGCCTTCACATGCCCTCTTCTTTATTTTGATGCATTGATTGTTCTTTAATGGCTACTGGTGTGTTATCAATACTGTTTTAATTTAATCATTGTAAACTGTAAAGAATGTACTTACAATTTGGTAAGGGTGAAGGTCCTTGTCCCTTTTGAGAAATGTTTTATTTGCCCTTGAGAAAAAAAATCTATACATTTTATCAAATTATAAAGCTATATATAGAGCCAAGGGTTTGGTTCCAAGACCTGAAAATAAATGAATATTCTTACATACAATCACTAAAACAAAAAAATACTTCTCCAGGCTATGAGATAAATGGTAAACAATCTCCTTATGTGCTTCTAATTTTAAATTAAAATTGAGGTCACATTGAACTAGTGAAGTCAAAACCAATTTAGTTCTTTTGAGCTCAACAAGGGGAACATACACTTAGCTTATTTTCATTGTACAAAATAAATGCTTTTCAGATAAAATAAAGACTGTACTACAAATAAAAAAGGTATTATATAGAAAATAGCCAAAAAACTGTCTTCAAATGCAAGATATGTCAATTTTGTACAGATGTTTTTACCTTTACCTACATGAACATTTCTGTTAGAATTATAATTAAGTAGTACTTTCATTTAGACCAAGTTCCACCACTGATGTGTGAATCTTTTTAAAAAATCACTCAAACTCCCATTTTTAGAATTTCCTGTTTATAGAATCGGTGTGGTTCTTTCCGACAGTTCATTCGCCCTAAAAATTAAATATTTTGCCAAAAATATTGTGGCCAGGAAGAAGGAGCCACAAAGCTTTAAGACAAATCTACTGAAATTATGTCTCCTTTTCTGAAACTAGTTTTTACTTATTTTAGAATGACTTCTTTTGGAGTACTATTATAGTCTTAAATCTGGTCACATTTCTTATATTTGCAGCAAGAAATAAAGAACACAGATGTTCCTAAATGGTCTGTAAAACAAAAGAGAATCATTTCATTTAACTTCAGAGTACAAGATTCCTTGCCTCACTGAAAGATTTGTATAACAATGTTTTACTTAGTCTCCTCTTAAAACTTGTATTATATTATTCCTCCTAATCATATACCAATTCTGATGTTCATAATATCCCCTAAGAATAATCTTATATGAGATTTATACTGAATTTTCGGTTCTTAGAGTAACTCATTTTATGATTTTTCGTTATTAAAACTGGTAATTGAAAACAGACATATAGATTTATAACAACATTTCCATGTTCTGTTCCTTCATCTTCATTTTTCAATGCCTTGAAATAAGCCTTCCTCATTTATTACCTGCACTGCTGAAATGTCACTCTGAATATTTCCCTGTCTCTAATCTTATCACTTTCCAGTCTTTATTCCACATGACCGAGTCATCTCTATAATATGCTCATTAGACTAACTTCATTTTTCTGCTTTCTGGACTTCACAGTTTTGAGGGTAAAAGTCCCTTACGTCCACCTCACGCCTCCTATGACTTCAGGTCTGCCCTCTCTTTAGCTTCAGGCTCCTCTGCTGTCCTTACAAAGTTCATTCCAGCTAAGTAGAACCCAGGACAGGAGATAGAGCTTCCAGTAAATTCCAATATCCTGCTGCCTTCCCTTAGGATCTTTTCTTTCCCCTCTTTGGTACAATTGAGTTCATTCATACATGAGTTTTTGCTCCAGCATTACCGTACCCCTGACTAGACAGATGCTGTCCTATGTGTTCTCATTACATCTGTCTGTAATTTATGCTGAAATCCATTTTCTGCATGACAGCTTGGATATTTTTTTAAAGAATGTAAGCCTAATAATTTCACTTTAAGAAGTCAAGACTTGCCTCTTGAATCCTGGACCCTAACATCCACAGGCCCTTCCTGAGCTTGTCTAGCTTAAGTCTCCAACCTTATCTTCTTGGGATTATCACTCTTCTTATACAGTATGCCACCTGTCTTAGCCTATTTTATTATCATTTTTTGGTGGTGGGAAGAAGCAAACTTGAACTCTTTCTCAGATTTAACAATTCTCTTTATTCGGTCTCCACTTCCTTCGTAATACTTCATCTGAGAGTCATTCTCACCTAGTTTTAAGCAAATTTCCTGAGGGCATATTTCACTTTTGTTTTGTAGCACTTATTAAAAATGTATAATTTTGGGGCCAGGGATTTAGCTCAGTGGCACTGAGCCTGTCTTACAAGTGAAAGGTCCCGAGTTCGATCCCCAGTACAAAAAAAAAATTGTATAATTTTGTACTTGTTTGCATGACTTTAATTTCTGTCTCTACATCTTCCATAAGTTATATGAGGTCCAAGGCCATGAGGGTCTTGTTCCTCATCACTCTAAATACATGTCTAGCACAGGTAGTGGTACAGTATTCTACTCAGAAATATGTGTTGGATAATGAAGTCTCTTTCACTATTGCACTTTTCTTGAAGAATTATGATTTTTATGACATTCTAACCCTGAAGAATTATGCAATAAAGAATTCCTCATAGCACATTCCCACTAAATATTAGATCAACAAATGGACAATTTTCAAAAATGAACCAAAATTCGGAACATTCAAATTAGGCTTAACAGCATTAACCTTCCTTTTCTAGACATACCCAAGGATATGAATTGCTTTAGAATTACATCGTAAGGGAAATATGATGAATGCTGTGATAGACCACTCATATTCCCCTTCAGAAATAGATTTACCCCAACCCTCATGCTGGTGGGCACGTTGCAGAGAATGACCCTCCCAGGAAGCTCACTTGGTACATTCCTTCAGCTGAAGAAAACCATTGCTTCACACAGGGGCATTCATCCTTAGGAGTGTAAAGGTCCAGCCCCCTCAGCCTACCTTGGGACAAGGCTGAAGAGCTATCCTACCTCAAGGCCTCTCCATGGAGTCTCCCAAAGTCATTGTGGCCACTGTATCATCGCTCAACTTCTCCCTTCTCCCATTCCTGCTTCTTCCTTTCATTTCCAAACACCATGTCCTAGATGGTAAAATTCATCTCAAGGGCTGCTTCACTGCAAATCTCTCTGGATGAGGAAAAACTGTTAGAGTTGTATGTAAATAAAAACAGCAGATAAAGAACTTCTGGCACCTCGGTACTGTGGAGATATATATATTATTATCAGATAATCATGGAAACTATTAGAGGAGAGCCATTATGTTAATAGCAATTCTGATAAATGCATGTTTACAGGTATATTAGTATTTCTGGCATAGGTTTTCTAAAACTATTATTAAGCATTATATCATATTTGCTTGAAGGAAATACATATACTGTTGAAGAGGATCTTTTATCAAAAAAAGGAAACGATGAAAGGCAAGTGTGTGTATTTATGCCATGCCACAGCCATTTCTGTTTGTTTACCCTAAAAGAAAAAGGGATATATCTCTATAAACGCACTGGTTCAGACAGTAAGTGTTGTAGGATAAAGATGTAAGTAGTTCAGAGTGAGAAGGAATGTCTCACAATGAGAAAACATAGATGTTTGTTACTAGTATAAAGGAATTACCCAGCTGACTTTGGCAGTTGTTTTTCAGCAAGCTCGCTGAAACTTAACAGTTACTACTTTATTCCTTGTACCTTAATTATGCATAGTTTGTAGTTAAGCAATTAAAATTAGGCACATACCTTTTTCTAAAGGAATGAAAATTCTCCTTAGAAGCTCATTAGAAAATGTCTACCAGGAAAGAACGGGTTTCCCTTGAGGTGCCCCGGCTTCTCAAACTTAACTGTGAACACAAATCACCCAAAGGATCTCATTAAAATGCAGATTCTAATTCAAGGACTCTGTATGGAGAGGCTGCCTTTCTAACAACCAGGTGATACTTATGTTTCTAATCTATGGATTGCACTCTGAGCAACAAGGTGTAAAAGCCCAAGAGAACATGTGAGTAAGGCTTGTAGAAAATTATTTAGCTATAAGGCATTATTTCTGATATGCTGCTCAGTGAATAATAAGATCACACACACGTATGCGCACACACGCAGAAACATGCATAAGTAAAAGTCACATAACCATGTAATTGTGGTTATAAAATGAACACATCAACAAAGCCTAGTCAGCTTTAATAAGTACTTAGGGGAAGCACATGAAAACAATTTCTTTAATATATACCACAAAATACTATGTATTTTATAAGTACAGAATATATACTGCAACAATTCCAAGTGTCATTTTCTTACTACAAGAGCTAAATTTTCAAATTGTTTTCTGGGCACATATATATGAATATGTTGTTATGTGTGTATATCAGATACAAATATATGTCAAAATTTGTGTGATACACTTCAATGACACAATACAAGTTAATGACTAAAAAGCTATTCTGGTTTCATGTAAAAATCTTCTTTAGTAAAAATCTTACTTTTCTATAGATACACACAAAAGTATACAATACAGAAACTTTCTGGAGAGAACTGTATACTTTCAGATGTCTGAATATTGAACACAACTTATATGCACACCTAATATATATACTATATATATGAATTGTTATAATGCAAAGGAAAATAAAAACATTCACAACACCTGTTCCCTTCATTCAAATGAAGCCAGTACAGTTATGCTAATGTCCTGGGTACATGGAACAGCAAGATGCTAGAAACAAAACACATTTTTAAGATTCTTTCCTACTTAGATATGAAGAAAACAGAATCAGTATTGAGAATTGTTGTTTTATTATCTCTCTGCTCATCTATTCCTCACAGTGATCTTGTAAGGCAAGTCCAGCCCTTCTTTACAAATGAAACAAAAATGTTAAGTGAGCTCTTAATCATAGAGCAAGACAGCTTCTACTTTTCTTTAAAAAGATAACAAAAAATCCCCTTCAGTGCTTTCAACTATGGATGCCCATTGGAACCATCTGGAAAGCTTTACAACATGCTAATTCCTAGATTCCAGCTCTTTGAGATCCTAACTCTAGTAGTCTGGTGTTTAGATTTTATAGCCAGAGAAAGTCCATTAGGTAACCCTACTGTGTCCCCAAACTGAAAACCACTGTAGTGGGACATCTGAATGACTCTGGCCTGACCCATTGCGTTAGTGTTAAGCAAATAATTTCATCTTTTACTTCAAAATGAGTGCAGATGTTACAGAATGGCCACTTCCTCACCATGCCCAGGTACTTACCTCTATCCATGGGCTCTGCATGTGTCCTCTGCTTTCCATCAGACTCACTTGTTTTGTTTGCTGTCATATTCTCTCTCTCCTTCTCACCCCCCTGCCTAATACTAATTTTTTTCCACCTGAGTTTGGATACAACCTCCCCATCCCACCCATCTCCTGGAATCTCCCCGAGCATATAATCATCCTTTTATCCCGTTTTCAAACTTTCTCTTCCTGAGAACTCATCTTCTTTGCTACCTTAAATTGCTTCAGCTTCTATTTTTAAAAACAAAAGCCCTCTCTTCGTAAGCACATATATTTCTAGGCTATTCTATGGCCATCAGAATGAAATTTGTTCTCCAACTCATCCATGATGTACAGTGACAATGCCTGCCATTTATTTATTAGTCTGATTTCTACCCTGACACTTAATAGAATCAACTCTCACCAAAATCACAAAGGTCACATTTTATCTGATACCTCAGCATGGGACTCTTAACCTTTTTCTTTTTCAAGTTGGTTTTTTTTTTATCTCTGCAACACTGCAATTTTCTAGGTCCTCTTCCTATAATCCAAAGGTCCTTCTTAGTCATACTGCAGACTTTTGTCTCTCAGATACTGAGATTCCTCAGTATCCTCAGGGCCCTATACTTTCCTCACACTATATAATGTCTAAGTGACATGAAACCCACATGAATATCATCATGAATATAAATCTCAAATTTGGATATCCTGTTTGATCTCTCTTGGGCTGTGGATTCATATAGGCTGCTATAAATGGATCATCTCCACAGCTGCCCGAAGTTAGCATTTTGGAAAATGAACACATAATCTTGCCCATTATCATCCATTGTTTCCAACAGCAATAAATGGTGCCATGATACAACCCCTTTCCAGACATGTACTGCATTCTTGAAGCCTCTCTTCTCCTACAAAAACGTTCAAGCCAATGATTAAGACTGTTTCCTTCTAGATATGTCCTGGTGACATGATCCTCACTCCCCCAGTCTAGCTGCTATTCTTCAGCATGGAAATTAGCATCTGAACAGTTCTCTGTCTCCAATACTGGTCCCTCTACTGCAATCTACACCTGGCCATCTGGGAGATCTCGTAAAAGATAAATTTAAAAGATCATTTTCCTTAATGCAAACATTCAATGCCTCATATTTCTCTTGGAATAAAATTTAAACATACTAGTTATTTTTTTTTTATTTTTATTCACACATGTCTACCATGCATACTGATTCCATCCAGCACGGGAAGTTGGTACATGTAAATAATTCATCTTAATTCTTTTTTTTTCATTCCTTTTCCTACCTTCCCTCTGTCCCTTGCAAAGATCTGTCTCCCCGTTTCCTATTACCTATCTTTTACGCTCTTTAATTTATTTATGATTTGGGTTTCTCATATAAGAGAAAGCATGTGATATTTAGGCTTGTGTTTCTGATTTTGCTTAACATCATTGTCTCAAGGTGCATCCATTTTTCCTACAAATGACTCAAGTTTATCCTTCCTTATGCTTTAAGAGACTTCTCAATCACTTTTATTTTCTAGCTTCATCTCATGATTTCCTCCTTCATATTAAAGGAAATGTGAATGGAGTTCTTAAGTGTCCCTGAAATTATCACATTCTCTCTGGCTTCTAAACGTTTTAAAGTTTAGCACATCTCTTTTCTCTCCCCTTCCTTCCCCAACCTCTCTCCCCTTCAGGATAAACTTTTACTTATTTTTCAAGTGTTGATTCAAAAGAAGGTGCTCAGACTTTAGTCTTAGGCTATCTTTACATAGAGATGCAGTCAATGCTAACTGTGGCAACTTAAGACAGTTGTTTAATGTCTCTAATGTGCAGTCACTTTTTTTTTTTTTTTTTTTTTTGATACTGGGGATCGAACTCGGGACCTTGCACGGGGGAGGGAAGTGGGTACTCCACTGAGCTAAATCCCTGGCCCCAGTCACCTCATTTTTAAAAAAAGGATAATGGAGGCCGGGGATTTAGCTCAGTGGTTTCGCCGCCTGCTGCACATGCACAAGGACCCGAGTTCAATTCCCGGTACAAAAAAAAAAGGATAATGGAAATGTGCACCTTATAGAACTTTGTAAACATTAAATGAGGTAATGCTTGTAAAGTGGTGGGCACACTGCCTGCTACATATTGTCAATGAATGTTATTATTCACAAACTACTGGGAAGGAGCCACTGTCTCTGGAAACGGTTTTTATCAGTATCCTAACTGCTCTCACCACGCCCTCTACTGCTCCCGTCACTGTCCCCATGACATGGAATGGCAGTGCCTTTTTATATTGTTCTGTATCCTCCACTATTTTAAAGCTCCTTAGGTCAAGACTATATCCATTTTATTCACTCTGAATTCCTGACATCTGGCACAGAGATGGGCCTTTAAAAGCACCAGTGAAACTGTAATGCAATAAAAGAGTAGGAGCTTCAGAATTTTTTTAAAAACACCACGTAGGCCATGTATTTTTGAAAGTGCCACCTTGCTTCTGAAAGGAATGATAACCATGGTGTGCACACCTGTACAACTGTGTAAGTTAAACCATTAAGGACTAATTATTAATGTTAAGTTTTCATTCTTTTAATTTTGGATAAACCTTAAATGTGAGATGATATATGTCATAAACATTTTATTAAATGAAGAATATAAATAAACTCATCAATAATATGATGAAACACTAAGTAGGTACATATAAAGAAATATCAAGGGTTTTTTTTGCAGAAGAGAATTTTAATGTATTTGGAAAAATTGGTCTCATCAATAATCTCTGAACTATGCATACTTTGCTTCTTTTACAAATCCCGTGCAAAAGTTTCAAAATTCTACTAATGTTACTGTTAAAGCAATACAGTCTCTACTTTGCAGCCCACTCTAAACACAAAATACATCCTTTTCTTTGGATGTCTCATCCAAATCATTTTCCAAAATTCACTCTGTAGACTGCCTACAAGACCCTGAGCTTTTGCAATCCAAGGATGAGTGCAAACTATATTAACTGGGTAAGAATTGTTTAGATGAGAAACTATCTCTGTTGAAATACTGTGGAGTTTGAAAGTTTGAAAAGCAGATTGTTTGTCCTTTTCTAAGATGAAGCACAGAGCAATATGTACCTAACCAGTAAATGGATCCTTTTAGAAAGAAAATAAGGTACATGTCTTTTAGAAGGTAATTTGGGAAAATGTTGGTATAGTTTGACCCCATAATCCTTTCTCTGGAAATTCACTTGAAGAAATGTTTTGAAAGGAGACAAAAACCAAACATATAAAGATGTGTATTGCAGTATTTCTGAAGATACAGGGAACAAGCAAAAATCTGCCTAAATTCAAAATGAAGAGTTTAGTAGATTATGAGACAAGATTCAACCCTTAAAAATCAAATTCTGACTACACTATAGACATTTTTCATCTTGCTACGTATTAAATAAAAACCCAATTTTTACATCAATTATGTGGAAATTATGTGTTCATATGAACAAGTAGACAAGAATGTGGCTAAGTGATAATTTATTAGAGATGTACAATTATGAAGTCACTTTATACTAATTCTATAAAATATGCATATTTGTTAGGCTTTCTTAAAAATTTCCAAATGTAAGAAAACAGTCCAGGAATTTTATAAACATTCTCCCTTCTGCTTATGAATCTGGTCTTCAATAAAATGGGTTTTTCCATAAACTGTATTTTGGGTTATATTTTACTCAAAATTATTACTTCTATATTTCACATGCCTAAGCCATAAACTTTAGTTTAAAAGACAGACTGAATTCAGTAACTGTTAATTTTAAGTTCAGCTACTGAGTTCTTCAGCCACAGTTTTGTTTGTTTTTTTGTAGTAATGAGAATTGAACCTAGGCCCTTTACACAAAACTACATCCCTGGCCCGTTGAATGATTTACTATTTTCTTATTTTGAGAAAGGGTC